GGGGAGGAAGGGGGGAACCCCCCCCCCCCAACAAACTACACTCCTGCACTCTCACCCATGTCCACGAGCTGGGGAATTACTCCCCTGTCCCAAGTGTGGTGGTGACCACAGGTACACAGACAAAAGCCTTTGCCCCAGAGAAGTGCAAGCCTTGGTCCACGAATACCTACTGCCACATGGGTTCCAGGCTTCCACAAAGGTGGATCCAAGAGTCTGGAAGAGGAGATGGGGAATCCCAGCCCCAGGCAGCCCCACTGAGTGCCCTAGTGTATGGGTGCACTTAAACCAATGCAGCACTGGGATATGCAGACAAGCCTAGCATCACTCATTTGTCCTGTCATTGCTTCCAGTGCCTGTGTCTGTTCTCCTGTGACACAGTGTATGCCAGGAGTGTTCAACCCCCAGCCCATGGACCAGACCTGGCCTGCAGAACCATGTGATCTAGCCCACAGGACTCCCCATAGGGTCTAGAAATTTGGCCGTGGTGGCTAAAGGGGGAAGGAGGGGGCAGTGGCAATTAACTGCTGCTACCACTTCTCCACCACCAAATTTCCAAGCTCTGTGGGCCAGATGACATGACCCTGCATATGGGATCCCACCTGCATGCACAGGTGGGATGGTGAGCCATGGGGCTCCATCAGGCACATGGACAGTTGGGACAACAGAGCCAGACCCTGAAAGTGCACAGGGCTGGGGGCAAGTGGCAGGGTCTGATCCTGCCTTGGGGGCTGCGGTGGCAGGCATAATCCTGCAAGGGGCCACAGCTGTGGCCACCACAGAGTGTGGGACTGGAGCCTGATTCAACATTTGCCTGATTGAGCCCCAGCTCTATGCTATGCTGGATTGGGCCTGCAGACCCACTTTGCACCAGTCAATTGGCTTTCAGAGCAAAAAGGTGGGCACCACTGATTTACACCCTCCTGTGTCTCTGGGAATGCAGGATCATTCATGCAGAGGGGTCTGGGGATGTAGCACCTACAGTAGGTGTACCCACATTGCAGGGGGTGTACGTCCCATTGAGGATCACCACCAGTACACTCCACCTGTACCTGCAGGCATGCTCTAAAGCTGGAAATACAGCAGAGATTCTGCTCCAGGCACTCTTGTGTCTTCAGCCTGGGGAACGTTTGGGAGCAGCCACTGAGGGTGAGCTCATAGCAGCCGTACTGGCAAGCCTGTGGGTTTGGAGCATGCATGCAGGCACAGGAAGGGGCTTGGCCCCTTCCTCACCAGGACCTGCCACCACTGCCATGTAGATAAAGCCTAAGCAGCTTCTATCTGTACTGACTCAAAGCTGTTACTTGGTGGGCATTCAGCAGTCCATGAGAAGTGGAGGCTGGGGAGAAGACTTATACAGACATTCTAATTCCTTGTGACAGGCATAAAAAAAACAACTCAGAGCCCCCGCTGGCAGGGTATGGAGCCAGCCCTACAGCCCCTGCTTGGGTCACCTTGTCCAAGGTTAGGTCATGTCAACTCACTTCACCATCTACTGCAGGGGTGGCCATCCTGCAGCTCCAGAGCCACACGTGTCTCTTCAGAAGTTAATATGCACCTCCTTGAATCTTTGCACAAGCACACAATGGGACATAACGGCTTTGGAAGCTGGTCACCGTGTGTTTGTGCAAAGGCTCAAGGAGATGCATATTAACTTCTGAAGAGCCGCATGTGACTCTGCAGCCTCAGGTTGCCCACCCCGATCTACTGGCTTGTGCCATGGGGCAGGAACTGGCGGAGGTAGGCCTCTCTGTTAATAATACGCCTTCTATTCCCAGCAGCCTCCTCCCAACCTGGAAACTATCCCACGACACAGCCATTTCAGTTGATACTGGCCAATTAGAAAAGGCCATGACTCCACAGGGAAGTGGCTGCCCTTTGTCCAGCAGCAGCAAGGATTTGGATTTTTATGAGGAGTTGGAATTGGCCAGTTTCTCCAAGTCATCTCCATGGAAGGCCATATGATCCACCTGGAAACAGGACACTGCTCTGCTTTTGCTTAGTCATTCCCATTTAAGCCCAGGTAAGCTCTCAAATCAAAATCAGGTTTCCACTGTGTGTGTGTGGGGGGGAAAAACTTTGCTGAACCACCATTTTCATGGCTGGCATCTCACCTCCAAGCAGCAGGACCTGCCCTTTTCTAGCATTCCTGTTTATACTTAGCAGGAAATGGCTGTAAATTGAGCCTCCCAGCTCTTCCCTTTATCTCCATCTCACCCCCATGTCTCTCCCTGCCCTAACAAAGTTCTTGGCCTTGCTGTTCAGGCCATTTTAGGGCTTCCCCTCTCTGACCCATTATCTTACACGTTGGATCCAATGCTCCACCTCGGCTCTGGCAATACTTCTACTGACTGCTGGCTAGTCCATGCTTTCCTCCCATCTCTTCACTCTTTCTCCCACTGTATACACTGGGAGGAGATCCTACAGCTACCTACAGACACCATGACATTTTACATGCCAATAGACCTTTGGCAGCAGAATAAGTGAGCTCTTGGTGGCCAGGATGCAGATGTGCAAACTCATAGATACAGACAAAAAGAGGGCACAAGCCAAGAGGAACATAAAGATCACAAGAACAGGGCCTGGGACAGGATCATGAATGGCACATGCCCCCGGGGAGCTCCTGCAGACATCGCCAGCACTGTCAACAACCACCCGCAGGCACTGCCAGTAGTGGCGGTGACCAGGGGGTGATCACGGACTGCCTGGATCACAGGGTGATGAGAGGCGACTGCCTGCAGGCATCAGCGACAGTGTCGGTGGTGCCTTTTTGCAGGGGGTGCACGTGCACCCACATGCACCCCCTACGCAATCGCCCTGGACAGGATCTCTCCTACATCATAATACAGTCTGAAGGGAATTCTCCCCCAAGTCCTAGAGCTGCTCTCTAAGGAACTCCTAAAATATGGTGTATTCTCCACTGATTGCAAATTCCCAATCAGGTGAAGAGATGCAATCTCCGCTGCCACTTGGCCCCAGGGAACGGGATGGTGGTCAGCACTTGTACAGCAAATGCTCCTGGGTTCCCAGTTTGGCTGGGCTCTAGGAGCTCTGCAAAGCAAACATGAACAAGATCACAAGCCATACTGTCATTCAGGTGGCCTGGATGCAGAATCTCAGAGACAAAATTCTCTGGCTACAGAAAACAAACAAACAACCCCCCCCCCCCCGCAAAAAAACAAACAACCAAAACCAAAACCAAAAAAACCACCCAAGAATGGCATATGGTAATCCTGACAGCACAGTTCAGAGAAAGAACCTGAGAGGCCTGGGAGAGGACAAAGCAAACAGCATCAGGCCTTTGAAATAGTCTACACATTCCTATGAGAATGCCTGCCCCAGGAAGAATAAGCTGTAGGAGACAACTCTGGCTGAAACTCAAAAGCAAAAGCAGAGCAGCTGTGGGGTGGTGGGCAGCAGATGGAGATCAACACTCAGCTGCAGAGTGGAGCCTGAAGAAAGCTGCAGGAGGGGTTCTCTGTGTCTGAGGGAAGGAGGCAGCAGTGACCCTGGGAAGATACAGGGAGCAGTGCTAGGACAGAGCAAGCATTTTGTTGCATGAAATTCAAAGGCCAGGAGCAAGGAGCCTACAAAAGCTCTAAGCCTCAGGCCTAATTGCAGGCAAGCTGCTCTGATCGGAGTACAGTTAAAACTGAGCAGCCCAACCTCCACTCCCCATGCATGGATGGCATTGCCGCAGGAAAAGAGGAACTGTTACACAGATAAGGCACCTTTAATCAGGGTCTGCAGCAGGGACCGTGCTAATCCTGTCACCCATCCTCCTTCTAACTAGTCAAGAGAATAAGAACAGGTCTCTTTCAAGTCAGTGCGTTGGAGAGATTTTTGGATTTGACCTTTGGACTGAATACGGCAGAGAACAAAGCAAGATTTTATTACTTGGGATCTAAAAGAAAGAAAGATGACCAAGCACATTCCTCCCTGGGGATGTCTGCTCCCCAAACTGCCAGGGTAGAAGGGAAGACAGGACTTGACAGTTTAAGGAGATCAACACCTACCTTAGAAAGCTCTGCAGGTAGCCTTGATAGAAAGCAGTGCTACAAGGCAGGCAGCTATAGCCAGCTGGAAGAGGGGTCCACACAGAGGCAACAGGTGGGGATCAATGTATAGGCTCTGGGCCACTTTTCTCCCATCCTGTCACAGTTGGTTTGGAGGCAAAGAGTGCTAGTGCCCTTATGCAGAACCAAGATGTTTTGCTTCCATGGTATTCACCTCACACTCTTATAATCTCTAGCAGGCAGGAGGAGACGAATCACCAAGAAAGGAACTGCAGGCAAGACAGCAAGATAAATACCAAAAAAAACAAGGCAGAGGACAAGGAGAGGAGACCCTGCCAGAATCCATACCTTTGCTACACAGCTGTCTCCTCCCAGCCTCTGATGGTGCATGGAAGGCAGAGAGCAGGTGTAACAAGCAGCCTCCCTTACTGTTCTGCAAACATCAGCACCCAGAGACGTGGTGCAGCTCTGCCTACAACTGGGGCAAGTTAAAAGATTCTCTGGCCAAATAGTTCATCAGTGGAAAATGCATTTTGAATGACACAAATCTCTTAATTCCACCATCCCCCCGGCTGTCTGGAAACAGAAATATTCTGGTTCTGAAGGGAGGCTGTGGTGCCTTGGGGCCCTGTGGCTCAGATGCCCAATTCTCCCACTCTGCTGCAGAATGGGGTCAGCTGGGTGGCATGGCTGAGGTCAGGCTCTGGCATTGGCTAGAGAGCAGGCAAAGGCCATAAGTGCTTGTTTTTGGCTGAGAAGCAGAACAAAGACTAAACTATTCCAGCATCCCTTTGAGAAGTGGGCATCAGGATGGCCAGCTGAGCCCCTCTGTGTGCTCTGAGCGCTGCTCCAGGCTTTCTGCATCTGCTGTCCCTCTCGTTCTCTGCATCTGGGTGGGGAGATGGCAGTCTTCTTGAGGTGGGACGACCAGCACAGGCACATGTGATCAGAAACAGATTTCAAATCTCCATCCTCTAGTTTCCAGCAGTTAATGCTGTCTACTGGGCACTCTTCAACCCATCAGACCACGGGGAGAAAAGCAATCTGCAGAGCCCCAAAGGACAATGTGCTCTCCCCACAGCAAATAAGATAGCTAGGGAGAAAGCTTCAAAGGGCAAAAAGCCTCAGTAAAGCTAGCAGGGGTTCTTACTCTCGACAAGAGAGAGTAATGGAAGCCCATTAGTGACAAACTAGTGTCAAGTTCAAATGAATTAGCGTTACACTACACACCTAGAGGAAAAGATTACACCTATCTGAGGATCTATTACATATGTTCTATTAAAAAGTTTCTCTCAAACCAAAGCTGTCCCAGCTAGGACTCCAGCAGGTGGCTTCTGAACAGTCAAACAGGAGCCCACAGCAAAGCATGGCTTGGTTGGCTAGAGATCAACATTTTACAGGCAGCAATGAAACATACCTCTGGTGCTGTTCTCCAGCTGGGAGACAGATGGGCAGAGACAACGGGGACCCCCCACCCCCTTCAGTCACATTTCCCAACCTGAAGCCTCAGCAACTGGCTTTCCTGTCAGTGACCAGCCAGAGGCAGCATTGCGTCAGTCCAGCCTCAAAAATAAGCAGCAGAATGACCCTTGCACTCAAACAGGGCTCCAGCAAATCTCCTGCCCCTAGAGGAATGAGGACGCATGCTTTCTGACAAACCACCTTCTGCAGGGTAGGCTTTCCTGGCTCCTATCCTTTAATATTCCAGTATAGGTACGTTTAGTACAGGATCATCCCTCATTTGGAAGCACCAGCTTAAAATAGGAAGAGAGAAGAGGGAAAGGCAGAGAGCTTGAAACATTTGCTGCTAAAACAAAATCAATCCAATTGCCAGGTACATTCAGGATGCCTGTGCACACACTGCGTCTCTCCCATTGGCACAGAGCAGAATGGCAGGCACTGTCCCTGTAGCACAGCTGGGCAGGACATCTGTGTAGACCAGGCATCCCCTTCTTCCAGCTCTTGTTCAGCTGAAGTCTCTCCACTTCTTCCATCAGCCTGCATTCTCTTCGTTTTCAAGGCAGCTTTCCCCACAGGGTTCTGGGGCCTCTTTCAAGGGCAGGCTGGGGTCTTGTGCAGTCCTCTGCCACATATGTTTGAAAGTACAGGAATCCAGAAACATGCTGGGGATGCTGTCACCAAAATACAGCTTACTGTTTGCAGCAATGGCTTGATATTTCACTAGCTCCAGATATGCCGGCGTGAGTTTCAGCTACAAAGTAAGACACCACATCCTGTAAGAGGCAATGTTCCCTGGCAAGTATCATGGGTGTCTACCTGCCCCACCCACAAGGCTGGATTTTGTGGTCAGGATTTAAATCCCTGCTCCCCCCCCACAAAAATCAGGACTGAAGTTAGCTGAAGCCCCCCACCCAGTCCTGGGGGCAGCTAGAAGACTAAGCAAGACCTTTTTGTCTTGTTTGCTTTCAGATACACCCTCACCTTGTTGGAGTCTGCCATTTTCTGAGCAGCATAATAATCTGCATCAGCCTTCGCCTTTTCTCTCGCTAGGAAAGCAGCATCTAGTACAGCAGCAGGAAATCAAGTCAAAGGAGCAACAGTTAGCACTGCAATGGCTAGGCCACCATGGGCACTGAGGCCTGAAACCCCCAAAAGATCACATTCTAGCCAGCCTGCCTGCGTCTACACCACAGCTTCGCTGAACAATCTTTCACCTGCATGCAGTGCTGCCTTCCTGCACAGGAACCTGGGAAAGGGAAGGAGAATTCACCCAGCAGGCAAAATCTGCAGCTGTGCAAAGTTTATTATCCTTTGTACTATGGCAGGTAATACATAGTACCTGTGGTTGCTGGGGAGGGGGTCTTTTCTGGGTTAACCTGCATAACAGCTCTTTGCATTGGGAGGTTCTATTATGTTCCATCATTACCTTCAATCTCAGAAATACGCTTCTCCGTCTCTTTCTCCATGATTTTCTGCTGATACTGAATCTTGGACACCTGAGCAGCCTTCTCTGCCTCTGTAATTACAGACAGTAGCTCAGACAATTTCTGCTCCTGCACCAGCCTGATCCATACCTAGGCAACAGTTTGGAGTAGACTGCACAGGATGTAGTGGCCATCTGGACTTGCTACAAAACCATCTCTGTATCTCACTTCTCTGCATGACCATCTTCCCCAGATCCCACGCTGCTATTCAATACAATGTCATGGTACTGGCTGTTTGCATTTCAGGTGACCCAGGTAGCATCAGAAGAGATAGCCATAATGGTTGTGAAGCTGTCACAAGCACAGTGCTGCTGTTCATTTCTGTGAATTCCCAGATGCATGGACATGCAGGTGACAAGAGCCTGACCGGTTTTGCCAGGGCAGCTTGGATTGCCAAGACCTACCAAACTTACAAGCCTCCCCAGTGTAGGAGGGAGCCCTGAATCAGGCCAAGAATTTCTTCAGTGAAAAACAGTTGCAAAAAGGGTTTGGGATGTACATTACAGCCCAGTGCCACTCCAGCAGATGCTACCTACACCTTGTCCAATCCCCACTTTTGCGCACTATTCTTCAGTGCTGGAGAAGGGGGAATAATTCCTAAGGGCAGTGATATGGTCCCTATGCTGGAGTTGGACAAGGACACAGGAGCTGACCTTCCAAAAGCTGAGGTGCCCCTGTTCTGCATGGAGGGACTGGATTCAATGCAACACACACAAGTGTGTTCATACAGGACTTCACAGTGACTGTATTTCCACTTGCATTGCTTGGCCATGTTGGACCCCACTCCATCAAATGGTGAGAACCATGCCCATGCATGTCTTCTGCCTATCTAGTGAGTCAGCCCCTCTGTATCC